GTTTCCTGTTGGTGATCCAGGGTCAGTGGTGATGATGAGTGTGTTTCCTGTTGGTGTTCCAGGGTCAGTGGTGATGATGAGTGGGTTTCCTGTTGGTGTTCCAGGGTCAGTGGTGATGATGAGTGTGTTTCCTGTTGGTGTTCCAGGGTCAGTGGTGATGATGAGTGTGTTTCCTGTTGGTGTTCCAGGGTCAGTGGTGATGATGAGTGGGTTTCCTGTTGGTGTTCCAGGGTCAGTGGTGATGATGAGTGTGTTTCCTGTTGGTGATCCAGGGTCAGTGGTGATGATGAGTGTGTTTCCTGTTGGTGATCCAGGGTCAGTGGTGATGATGAGTGTGTTTCCTGTTGGTGATCCAGGGTCAGTGGTGATGATGATGACAACATGCAGCGAGCCCTGCAGTGCTGACTCTTTATCAGATATAGTAAGTCTTATTCCTCCACACTCATGGCTCTGACAGATTGTAATGGACATTTTAAAATATTTTCTGACATCTTAAAGACCAAACTAAATACAGAAGTTATTTACAATGTTTGGTGAATATGTTACATTAGAAGATAAACTGTTTTATTGTCGGGTAAAGCCCTAGTCCTCTGTCTATATATACATCCATACTTCTAACACCATGGGCCCAATGTGTGGGGACCTTTGTTATCCAGCGCTAGCCTTTAGTCGTCATGCCCCCTCCGGCCCCCCCCAACTTATTCCTACCAGTGTTCACATTCATTGAGTGTGTAAACACAGCAGCCCCCTCAGTGTATCTCCAGGTTTCTGTCTCCTCCCTTTGGTGGCATCACCCTCTTTTCCTCAGCACCATTTCCCCCCCCTCTCCCCCAGGCTGTGGGTCTGGGTCTGGACTTTGTCAAACTGGGAGGTCTGAGCGGAGCAGAGAGGATGACTAAATACAACCGGCTGATTTCTATAGAGGAAGAACTGTCCCAACAGGGAATCCTGGGTAAGTTTTATACTCCGCCCTGGTCTTTTTATTTATCCACAAAGAGAGAGAGAGAGGTAGTAGTCTCTCTCTCTCTCTCTCTCTCTCTCTCTCTCTCTCTCTCTCTCTTCTCTCTTCTCTCTTCTCTTCTCTTCTCTTCTCTTCTCTCTCGGACGTGAAAGGAAACTGTGTGTGGAATCATACAAATGTGTACTTGTGTGTGTGAGTAGAAGAATACCCCCCCCTGCATTGGATCTGTTAATTGGCCACTGAGGAGTTACTTATTACTCACTTTCCCATCATCATTTAGCCTGTAAGCAGGGGGGGGGGGAGGTTAATCCGTGCCTAATCAAAAGTACAGTTAACATGTTTGCTGCTAGTTAATATTGTGTTGATGCTCCATGCTGAAGCCTGCAGTGCATCAGTGCGTTTCAGCGATCTGAAGCATCCGGGGTCCAGCTTTGTCCCTTCATCCCTTTATTCTGTGTCGCCCACAGCCTCCAAGGAGAAGCACCCCCCCCCCCCCCCACTGTTCCGTGAGAGAGCAGTGCTGAACACTGACACTGCTCACAGCTTCGGTTGTGCATGACTGATTCAAAATACCTGTCACTGAGGCCATCTTATGTTTCATAATTTAATCATAATTTCAATCAATAATTTGACTTCATGTCAGGATTTCACCTGTAGAGCGTGCAGAGTTGATTATAAACTAAGTGCATTATTCTAGTGTTAACAGCCTGGTTTATTTAGAATCTGTGGTAACAAAATCAATATGAAGCTATTCAGAGAGAGGCTAAGTGGGTAAACATAACCTTGAATAAAAACATTTTGTTCAACCCCTAGACATCTTGTCGCTACTTCAGCTATATACAAGCCATATTGAAACCACCACCATGAAACAGAACAGATCTACTGTGAAGGTCATTATTTCATCACACCACTATATCAAGCACTTTTTATAGTGTAGAGAATTCATTTAAAAAAAAGACACATTTAAGTTTCAAATTTGTATTTGTGTCAAGTAAAAAGATCTGATGAATTATGGCCCACAGTATAAAGATGAGTGATTGACGGCACACTGCCCCTTTGAAAGAGAGTGTTGTTTAACTGGGACCCCCCCTCAGTCGGTAAGTGTCAGCAGGTTGTGACCAGGTCAACAACTCACTCCTCCTCTGTTTTATTTAAATAATAGCAGAGGTCCAATTATCCACATCAATCATGTTCAGCAGAAATAGTCATGTTACGTAGAAATTAGTTTACCTGCTCTCCTTTTCTGTAAGCATCTCGATGCTCAACACGTTTCCACATGTTTAATTTAATCCATAATAACATGAAACTCTCCACTGAATGAAAATATTTGAATCGCCCCAAATGTAAAAGGCAGGCTCACCAATCATACACATTCACGTGCCTTCTATATTGACAAAAGATCATTGTAAAACAAAGGAATTAATACAAAAATAACCTTTATCTAATTTCACAGTTTGATGACTGAGCTTCATGACTACAGAAAACTCAACTGACAAATTGTTTCAAGAGATAAAATAGTTTTTGATGAATACTTTTGTGTTCGATTGGCCATGACAGCTCTGTACTTTAACACACAAACACATCAACGGCCATGTCCATTGAGTTCTCTCTGATTTATTTTTCTATTAAACGCACAGAATGTAGCTGTTACTAAATAGGCCTGCTTCATTTAACTTTATTTATGAATCGCTATACATTTTATTTTTATTTTGTGTCTTCAGGCTTTTATAGGGAACTCTAATCATAGCTTATTTCTGGTTATAACATTTCTTCATTTATAAAATTAAATAAATAGCAAATGGTCACAAAATGATAATTATTTTTTTATGATTCTTTGGTTTCTTGGTTTGCTGGCGGTGCAGCCTCGGTGTTTGTGTAACTGACAACCTGTAATCAGTGAGAGGACGCAGACTGAGGCCGGACACACAGCAGGCAATTACAATGTTTGGGAAAATAAATGAAATTACTAACAAAATAGGTCAGATGAAGTGTTTCCCAGACACACTAAAAAGACCTCCCTAATTGCTGGTCCCTGAAGGGACAAGAATACAAAAACAACCAAACATTATATTGTATCGGCCGATGACGAGGGAAGAGACGCAGACTGAGAACGGGCAGTGGGAGAAGAAAAGGACACAGCGTGGTTTGTATAATTGCATGTTTTGCCTCGAGCGGCGAGTGTGTACGTCCGTCAATCACCATCAGGGAGCCAGCGCGGAGCAGATGGCGGAGGAAGGAATCGAGCCGGTCATTGACTTTGTCTCTGCTGAGGGAAGGAAGACCGAGACAAAAGAATCAAAGACTATATTGCATGTTGGCAAACTATTGAGTTGTGCCAGGACGGCCTCCACGAGAAGAGGCTCATTAGATATGGAGGATATGAGGAGGCAGGATGTAAATCAATGCAAAGGCCTTCTCTTTTTTTCATTCTACTCCTACTCAAGCAGGCGACCACTCGCACACGCCGTCCTCCAACAAGATACCCAAGATTCTTCACAAGCTGCTTGTGTGGTGAGAAAAACAGCCAAAAATACTCTGCACGACTGACGAGTTTATACAATCCTTCCTGTTTCCAGCTACACTAAATGTGCAGTAAAATAAAATGCCAGTGTCCTTCCTGCACACAGGGATGAATGGACATGGGAGTGTTTGAAGCTTGCTGCTGGGGAATCTAGTTAGAGAAGAGCCACAATGACATTTCCTCAGCCCTCTGTTAGGGGGATTGGAGCTTGAAATTGCACCTCAGTGCTAAACCAAGCCTGAGCTTTAATTAACAGCAGCACACAAAAGGTGACGGACATCGCCTGCAGCTCACAGCTCTCATGTTTCAATCCCGCTCTCAAGGAGATGTCTGGGAAATTTGGGCAGGTGTCGAGGAAAAACAAAGCCCCACGGCAGCAGCCCACCATTGTGTTTAATCAGCAGCACAGTCATTGTGATCGTCAAAGGGCACGGCTCTGACAGAGGGACACTGTTACAAAACAGAGAGGGAAGCTTTTTACATCTCAGGACTCATTCAAATACGTGTTATTTAATGATCCCTTTATTATGATTGTCCTCACATGACTACAACATAATCTATTGTCTAAAACTAGTAAATATCAGATTGTAGGGTTAATACCTCGCAGGGAGAATGCAGTACAGTAAACCAGATAGGAAATGTGTTTGTTACAGAAAAGCATTCAAATTAAATGAAATACAATAAATGACAAACTTAAGTTTATTGGACATGCATATTACAGAGCAGTTAGAAATAGCTGATTCCAGTCCTGTCTCCCAGAAATACATCTTCTTATATACTGTATTACCATTTGTTTTGGCCAAATGCATTTTGAGGGGAAGCTGCTGCCTGGACTTTGTTCTGAAAAGTCACAAACAAGTTTGTGAGTGAAGGAAATGAACAAGGAGGGGTCGGGGGGGGGATCTACAACGTTCAGGACTTTCACAATGACTGAGTACTGCTGAGGCAAAAAGGCTTTGTGGGTTAGGTAAGGGAGATATTGTAGATTTATATAAATGTTAATGAAATTAATTCACTGTTGATATTTTCAGTATTTAACCAAGAACGCATATTTCCTGTCATCTGTAAAGAGGGGGGAAACCTCTGGGTCTGAAGAGTGAAGCCTTAAACCTCAATTCTCTCTCATATCCAGGGGCGACTCCATTGGTTTAAAGAACACACATTGTATAGAAGTCTATGAAAAAATTACCGTTTTTCTCACTTCTAACCTTAATAAACATTTTCCTGCTGAGTTTCTGGTATCTTTAATGCAGAGTGATGTTCATTTAGTTAGTTAATGATGGTCTCATTTAGAGTCCATCATGAGGGGTTTGAGACACACACTTCAGAGGCTTTGACCTCTGTGTTGATTCATAACCTTGTGACTACTCTTTCTGAGATGCACTCGGGGCCTCCCACTGTTACTGACGCCTGCTTATAACGTCTGAAATGAATATTTAATATATTTTATGCATACACAATACAATTAAATTAGAAACATTGATTTTGGGTCATATGATATGTGGAAGCTCATGTCGATGTCGAGCTCAGCCTGGCTCTCACACAGCAGGGGAGAGACCTGCACGCGCACACACACACACACACACACACACACACACATGCAAACACACACACACTGAAACACTTCTTCCTCACACTGGAAGACAGCTGGAACTCTGAAGAAGTAACACATGGCTCCAACAGGGGAACACTGCAGAACACGTTACAGAGAAGGAAAGAGAAGGCTTTATGAACGGCTGGATGTGTGTCATGGTTTCTTTATTCAAATAAATATTACTTTTTTTTATGTTTTCATGAAAAATGGTGCACAAATCAGATATGGAAGGCCCTACGGCCAGTCTCTGTGCAGATATAGTGAATGACCTTGTAATGTTGTCTTTATTCTAGCAAATCTCATTGATTCGCTTATTTTTAATTGAACATTTCCTACAACATTTCGAAAAACCCTGTGTACGGCAGAGGAAGTGAAACTGCTTTTGTCCTGAGGAATGTTGTCTATTAGAGATTTATTTTGAAATGATAAAAATCAAGCTCTCTTCCAACAGTTAACCCTAATAAAAGGTGGTCCACCATCTATGACCCACCGCACAGGAGCAACACCTACACGCATTGCAGATTTCATATTTAACAGTGTATTGTTTCAATTATTCTCAAACAGACTGTGGTCATACTGATTCCTTGTTTACTTTTTAATTTCCCTGAAACATACCGTTATATTATTTCATTCCTCTTCTGTATTTGATTTGATTCAAACATATTTAATCCTATTTGTCAGTTGCTTTCTGACGAAGTGTGGTGTGACCTTTAGAAAGCAGGAGCAGAGCGCTCTGCTCCAACCGCTGGCAAACAAATCCACAAAATAACATGAAAAGTACCTTTTCAACAAAGGCCAAAACCTTTGAGAGAATTCTGACAGAAGTTTAACATTCTGTGAAACACAACAGTGGTTCATGTTCTGTTGAGGATGTCTTTCTTTGGGCTAATGAGGAAACCCCCCCCAGGATCAGAATGCTGTCGGACAGTGAGGAGAGGACTCATCGTGGTGTGTTCAGGGCTCCAGCGCGCCCCTCCGCCTCAGCAGGATCCTCTGCAGCAGCTCATCACCTCCGGCTGACGGAGGCATCGCCTTGGCTTGGGGGATGAATCTACCGAAATTCTCCTTGACAGTTTCAACAAAAACACACACAGACAGAGAGACAGTTCAGCAACTAGAGCTGCACAGGTACCGTGACAGCTTACAATCATGTCCAAAGATCTGGTAGTGTTTACAGATATCTGTCTGACTGCAGTTCTACTTATTTTCTTTTTGTAGTGTATGTAAATATAGACTGCAGCTCAATAAATGTTGCAGTAGCACTTTCTCTTAGTTTAAATATTTTTTTTTTTAACATCAAATACAACTTTAAATTCAGGTGTGAACACAGTCACAGTTCCAGCAGTTACATGTGCTCTGTGAGGACATTGGATTGTTTTAAAGGACCATTACCATTATTCCTTTAAGTTCCTGGATGGCAGAATTAGAGGGCAGCCTCTCCCTCTGATAAAAGGAAAATAGGAGGGAAAAGATTGGTTTGGTAAATAAACAGCAGTCTGACACATTATACTTATTTTTCCTCATTCAGCACTTAGAGGCTAAATGGGACCTCTTACCACAGAGCCGAGACACTGTAGGCAAGCACCACGATGTATGCTTTCTACAAGAAGCACAACACAATCATCTTGAGTCACGTCAATTTTCCCATCCTCATTATTTATAATTACCTGGTGGAGCGGGTCCTAATGCTATCTAATTTGGCGGAGTTGTTGTGGCGGAGGAACATGCCGACTAAAATATGTCTTGGCCATTATGTCATGTTTTATCAAAACAAGCAGCTCTTAAATAATCCCACACATTGATGGATGGAAGTTAGCTTTAGTCTGCAGATTTGAACAAGGAGGAAAACACATCACACACATGCACTTTCTTTAACGACTCCCCATTTTGATGTCTTCATTCTGACTTAATGCTCAGTATTCACTGTGAGAAGTCTCTGCAGTGTGTGCTGGACTTTTCTGCTGTGTTCCTGTCAAAGGACGGGGGGGTGGCACTCGGCACACCCGATCATAGTTTAGGACTACTTTACATACGTTCAAAGAAACATTACATCTATGTCTTTTTTTTAATTGAATAGAATTAGTGGAGTGGAATATTCAGAACAGTCATCACCTGTGCGGGGGTGTGTTCATGAGAAATGCGAGAACACAGCGCTGCAGTGTTGTTTGCCCTCACTGACAGTTTCCTGGCCTCAGACTGAAGGTTAAAAGCTTTCCTGAACTGTCTCTTAATGTCAAAAACACAGCAGGTGGCAGGCAGTGTTGGCTAATACACCATTTAAGTGGATTATTGAGAGTACCTGTTTCCTGCCTCTGTTGGGTGATTGGCTGACAGGTCGAAGTTGAATGCCTCTCTTGATCCTGTGCATCATTTCCTCCACGGCCTGCTGCCTGACATCCACGTCTTGGAATAAAAGAGAAGCAGGAAAGAAACACGTGTCCTTAGTTGTTCTTATTAACGGCTTCTCAAAAACTCAACAGCAGTCTGCCTCAGTGCAACGAACCCAATTGAGTTGAAATGATTGTGAGGGCTCTATGTAATGTACAGCCGTTATTAGCACTGCTCTTGTAAAATAGCATATTTGAATTTAAAAACTTGAAAAAGAGTCAAACCTCTTGGGCCAGGATCAATTAAGTTTCTTTGGCCAAACCCACAGCTTTTCCCCTTTAGGGGTTGATTGGCTGTACTTATAGAACATATAATAATCACTGCCGTGCACAAACATTCCGTAGAGCTCAAAGTACATCTGTGGAGTTCAGAGCATTTGTAGTTCATGAGGTTATCTAAACTACTCAGGAATTCAATTCAAACCCCTGCGTAAAAACACTATTCAGCAATTTCTCATCCAAAAGTTCTGAGAGGATAAGAGGCTTTCTCCAGTTCACAAAAGATGTGGACAAAACATATTTTTCTGCCATAACGCATTGGCAAAGAATGTTCATATTTAATTTTCCAGTGCAGAAAATTCAATGGCATACACAGTGGAAGTATTGTCAGTAAGATGTCTTTAAACTGTCACACAAAAATAATAATAATAATAAACTGATAGTAAAATATTTTCCTCCAAAGAGCCTATTATTCAGGTGTCGGAGTAGAAGATCCTTGGGTGGCATCTATTCAGCCCTGTGTGTAGTTCCAATAAACCCCTGCGTGGAGCGCCCAACTGAGGCCTCATATATTCCTGTCACAAAATGAAGACTGTGAAGCTGTTCAGTTCACATGCATGTCCTACCCGCTCCTACGTACGCACGGAAGTCAAGGCTTCCCTTTTGTTTGCACAAATTGAAAAATGTGTCACGTTGACCTTATAGGCAAATGATCAAGTCTTATGTTTGATTTACCATGCACCACTGCTTCAACTTTTGTCTTTATGCACAAAATTCGCTTTGATTTGCAAAGGACAGGTTGAAAAGGAGGAAATCTGATTGAAACAGGATTGAAGACCAGCTGTCCTACACTGACACACATGAGAGAAAGCAGCCCCCAGGAGAATAACATACAAAATGAACATATACACAGAGAAAGGAAAGATCAAAACACAGTTTGAACCATGATGCCGTAAAGAACATCTCTAGTTGACTTAGTCTTAACTGGTTAGATGTATTCCAATGCATCTTATACATAAAATATTATACATAAAAACATGCCCTTACACACCATGCTTACACAAAGAAGCAAAGTCCCTGTCCTGGTGTACCTGGTGTCATAGCAGAGTCCTGGCCCACCAGTGGGATGTCAGTGTTGATGTCTTTCCCCTTTCGGATCAACAACAGCAGAGAACTGCAGGAAAGACACCAACGGTTAGGGTTTTTATTTAGCAAGACGCTTTCCAGGATCCCAAAATTGCTAAGAGGTATTGATTTTGATGAACCAATGTTCTTGTAGGGCTTCCAGGTTTTAATCATAACAATATTATATAGCTCTAGTTTTCACACACAACACAGGTCACCATTAAATATTCAGATTTTACAGATCTACATTACACATATAACAACAAAGACTATAACACCTCTGTTGTGCAATATCACTTTTGTGTAATATATATATAGATACATATATCTATATACTGTATATATATATATATATATATATATATATATATACATACACTTCTGCACCCCCTCATGCCATGCTCTGTATCTCTGAAGAAGAAGACAATTAGGG